AGCTTCCCGGGGGGGCCCGGAGCCCCCCCCCCCCCTTTTACAACTGATCTCCAGCTGACAGAGATCAGCTCCCCTGTAAAAAATGGCTGCTTGGAGGGGTGGACTCTGTGGCATTGGGCCCTGCGGAGGCCCCTCCCCTCCCCAATCCCCGCCCTCTCCCGGCCCCACCCCCAAAGTCTCTAGGTATTTTCCAACACAGACCAGGCAACCCTACTTCCGACTCTATGGTTTTAAATCTCTCTCTCTCTCTCTGCTTAATTGCTACTATCTATTGTTTTATCTGTCATGTTGTAGGCCGCCCTGAGCCTGCTGTGCACGGGAGGGCGAGCTAGATATCAAATATAATAAATACAATAATAACGGAAAAGGGTAAAAGTCGAGTTTTACCCAGACCCAATAATAACTAAGTAAACCGTTGCTGTTCTCAACCATATCCTATATAGGCATGTATGTGTGTGTAAGCATATGTATGTACGTACACACTTCGGTGGGAAGGGAACAGCATTCCGTGCGCCTTGGTGTTTAGTCATGCCGGCCACATGACCACGGAAACGTCTTCGGACAGCGCTGGCTCTTCGGCTTGGAAACGGAGATGAGCACCGCAACCGTAGAATCGGAATCGACTGGCTTTCGAGCAAGGGAAACCTTTACCTTTTTACACACACATATCTTATTTAGTATTTATTATTTATTTTGTGCACACACACACACATATTAATGACCTGGAAAACCGGGCAGCGTTAGCGTTAGCCCCGGGGCGCCGGAACTACAGCTCCCAGGATGCCCAGGGCGCGGCGGGGAGTCACGTGCGCGGCCGGCTGCCTGCGGGTCACATGACCGGCGGATCGCCTGCCGGAGCTGCCGCCGCCGCCGCCGCCGCCGCTGGATCCCCGGCCGGGCGATGTCGAACGTGGCCACGAAGGTGTCGTGGTCCGGGCGGGAGCGGGAGGAGGCCGAGGGCGAGACCACGCCGCTGCTCAACGGGACGGGCGCCGCCGCCGCCTCCGCCTCCAAGCCCCGGCAGGTACGCGTGGGAGCCTCCCGGGCCAGGAGCAGTCGAGCCTCTACGAGCAGCAGCAGCAGCAGCAGGGCGCGGGCCATGTGCAGAGTGGGGGCGGGGGGGAGGCGGGAGAGGGACTCTTCTCCTCCTCCTCCTCCTCTCGATGGCGACCCTGTTGGGGAGATGTGGGGGATGAAGGGGCCTCTGGGCATGTGAAGAGTGCCCGCGCATGTGAAGAGTGAGGGCAACCGGGGGGGGCGCCTGTGCCACTGGGATTAGGGGCAGGGCGGCTCGGAGCTGTCAACGAGGAGGGATGCCGAGGTCTAGGGGTTGCCAGCTCTAGGCGGGGAAACTCCGGGAGATGGGGTTAGGGTTAGGGTTAGGGTTAGGGTTAGGACTGGGCCCCCCTCAGTGGGCGACAAGGCCGCGGAGTCCTCTACCCTCCAAAGTATCCATTTCTCTCCAGGGGAACTCGTCTCTGTCGTCTGGAACTGAGCTGTAATTGCAGGGGACCCCCAGGCCCCACCTGGAGGCTGGCATCCTTATTAGGGACAGCTGCCCCACGCTTGGTGGGCTGAAGCCACCTGGCTTGCCGAAGTCTGGGCCCCGATCCGTTGCTCAGCATCTATCCGGTGCGGCCACAGCACGCTAGTGGTGCTGGTTGAGGAGGTGCCCTGGCGGCTGAGAATGCCACCTTCGGGTGAGGACTCTGGGTCATGTGTGCCTACCCAGTGCCCATGGGGCCCGCTTGAGCGCCCTGGGGGCAGTGTGCCCCTGCTGCCGAGGAGTGAGGGGGACCTTGCTGCCTGTTCCGGTGGGATAAAAATGGTCATCTGGGGAGAGGGGTGCTCCACAGGTGAGAACGGGGTAAGGCACTTGTGTCTGTTTGTGACTCCTGTGTGGCCAGCAGCAATGCTCCCTCTAAGCTGTGGAGTCTTGTGAGGAAAAATTCTACTTTGTGAGCTCCTGGCATTACAGTTGTGAGCGAGCGATTTGGCTACTGCGTGAATCAGTTGGTTCTGGAGCGATATCCTTCCCGAGTGAAGACAAAAACGTGTGAGCCGGAGGCTAAAACACTGTGAGGTGGCTCTCACTAAATCAGCTTAGGGGGAACACTGGCCAGCAGACTATAGCAGAGATGGCAAGCAGTATGCCTGCATTTAGTAGCGGGCAGGGAGAGCAGGTGGGCACATGGGAAGGATGCCCACATGATGTGGCACCGCCAAGGTCTGATGCCTATCGGCTCACTGCCCTCGTTGGGGCTTTTGTTTGTGAGCAAGAGGAAGAGCTGGCGGTTGTTTGGAAGAGGAGGGTTTGGAAGGAAAGGCATTGGCTTCTTGCCACCTTTGGCCCAGGAGAGAAGTACTGAGGGGTCCCGTCCTTTCTCCGGGGTGTGTGCGTGTGCGTGGCTTGTTCCGGCCATCCTTATCCGGGCACAATTTTGCTCTTCTCCTCTCAAAATGAGTCTGCTTTGTCCAAGCGGTGACCCTGGATTTCTTTAATACTCGTGTTTCTAACGATTCAGACATTTTAATCGACATAACAGTTCGTGTTTAAAGAACAATAAAGCTAATCTTTGGGAGTAAAAGATATATTACGGGTCAGTGCAAAGGAGGTAGGTAAGGACAATGGTATGAAGCAGCCGCTTGAAAGGTTGGGACGACCTGGGAAAACTTTTTTAAAAGTCCCGCCAACCTCCCCTGGCTGGGAGTTCTGTGAGAAGAGTGCCCCTCCTCTTGGGGTACAAACTCCAGCGTGGGAAATTCCTGGAGATTTGGGAGATGTGTCTGGGGGAGGGTGGAGTTTGGGGAGCAGCAGCCCCTTAGCAGGGTGGGAGAGCACTCTAGGACTTCTGTTTCTCCTAGACTCTGACGTTTACCACAGAGAGACCATCCTCTAAAGTTGCCGTATCTTTCAGGGAGACTGAAGTCTTGGAATCAGTTGCAATTCTAGGAGTTCTCCAGGCCCCACCTGGGGGTTAGCAACCCTTTCTGCCCCTGTGTGTGTGTGTCAGGAGGCCCAGTTCTTCTTTGCATCCCCCAGTTAGGAAGCTGTTGCTTTGCCACTGGCCACGACCGGCCCGCCTCTCTCCTTCCGCAGGCCCCGTTCTCGGTGTCCCTGCAGTGTTGAAACTATAAACACGGAGGCTTTACACTCAACAGTCTTTTCTATCGTTTTCAATTTTCTCCCAAATCCGAAGCATTTGACTTGCGGACCTGCCTGTCTGCCATGCGGTGGAGCTGGGGCGGGGAGGGGGGGCGCCGAGGAATATTTTCAACTCCTGCCTTGTGATCTGTCTCTGGGGGAGGCTGCCCCCCCTCCCCAAAGCAGCGCTGAGCTGGGCATTATCTCCTGGAATGTCACATGCCAGCAATCTGTTCCCGGGCTGCACGGACATTAGGCCTGCCCAGCATGTCTCCATAGCTAAAGGCCCCTCTGTGTGGCCACTTTGCCCCCCCCCAAAAAAAACCCTCCCATGAGTTTTATTCAGCACCTTCTCATGCCCTTTAATTGCCCGCATAAATCCAGAGCCAACGGTGGCTTGTGTTCTCAAAACAGACCCTCAGGAGGGGCTCAGCGTTCAGATTTGCAAATCGGCTCTCCCGCTGTGCCCCCGGGCTGCTTTGCTTGACCCAGAAACATTTTTATGTATTTATTTATTTATTAAATGTGTATCCCGCCCTTCCAACATGGGCTCAGGGCGGCGAACATAGAGGCAAATGCCATACATAAAACAATAAACCATCATTACCTATAAAACAGTTAAAAGTCGGTGCTCAACAGACCATATCAATTCCATAATAAAATGCCAATAACAGTAACGCACTCCGAGTAGACACAATTGTCTGCTCAATTGATGTTACACTATAACTGTCATTCCCATACCAGGGCCGGTGCGCCTCGTGATGTTAATACGGTGGTGGTACAATGGCGGTGGGGGCTCCTAATCAAAGGCCTGGCGGAAGAGCTCCTTCTTACAGGCCCTGCGGAACTGCATAAGGTCCCGATGGGCCCTGATCTCCGGGAGCTCGTTCCACCAGGTTGGGGCCACCACCGAAAAAGCCCTGGCCCTGGTTGCAGCATATTTAACTACCTTGGGGGCTGGGATAACCAACAGATGTTGCCCCCCTGACCGTAATGCCCTTGGGGGAACATATGGGGAGAGGCGGTCCCTCAGGTAAGCCGGACCCTGGCCGTATAGGGCTTTAAAGGTAAGAACCAGCACTTTGAAACGGATCCGGTATGCTATTGGCAGCCAGTGCAGCGCCTTCAGCACAGGCTGGATATGGTCCTGCCTAGTGAGACCCATCAGCAGCCTCTCCTGACGGGCTGCATTCTGCACTAGCTGCAGCTTCCAGATCTGCAACAAAGGCAGCCCCATGTAGAGAACGTTGCAGTAGTCTAGCCTCGAGGTGACCGTCGCATGGATCACTGTGGCCAGGTCTTCACGATCCAGGTTGGGAGCCAACTGCCGTGCCAGCCGCAGATGGTAGAAGGCTGACTTGGCAGTGGCTGCCACCCGGGCCTCCATAGTTAACGAGGAGTCCAGGAGCACCCCCAAACTCCTAACCCCTAGCGCCAGCACCAAAGGCACCCCGTCGGTAGAGGGAGCCCCAACCCCAAACTGATCCGACTCAGGCCCAGGACATCTGTCTTCACCGGGTTTAGTTTCAGCCGGCTCAGCCTGAGCCAACCAGCCACGGCTTGCAACGCCCTATGAAGGTCATCAGGACTGGAGTCCGACTGGCTGCCCAGCATCAGATAGAGCTGGGTGTTATCTGCATATTGATGACACCCAAGCCCATAGCTCTGGGCAAGGGGGCGCATATAGACAGGGGACAACACGGCCCCCTGAGGCACCCCACACTCAGGAGGATGCCTCCGGGACTGCCAATCGCCACCCTCTGTCCCCGACCTTGGAGAAAAGAGGCAAACCATTGAAGGGCAAGCCCCTGAATCCCCACGTCGGCGAGGCGGTGGGTCAACAGCTGATGGTCGACCGTATCGAACGCGGCCGACAGATCTAACAACAGCGATGCCGCCACACCGCCTCGGTCCAGATGCCTTCGGAGATCGTCAGTCAAGGCGACCAAGGCCGTCTCTGTCCCGTGACCCAGGCGAAAGCCAGACTGCAAGGGATCCAGGACTGAAGCGTCATCCAGAAAGCCCTGTAACTGTAACGCCACTGCCCTCTCTATCAGTTTGCCCAAATAGGGCAAATTGGACACCGGTACTGGGACATCTGGAGCTGCGGTGGCTCAAGTGGTTAAGACGCTGAACTGCAGGCTGTGGAAGGTCAGTAGTTCAGCAGTTCGAGACCCGGGTGCCGCATGATGGAGTGAGCTCCTGTCTCTAGTTCCAGGCAGCTCCTGCCAACCTAACAATTCAAAAGCAAAAAATTGCAAGTAGATAAATAGGTACCACTTCAGTGGGAAGGGAACAGCGTTCCGTGCACCTTGGTGTTTAGTCATGCCGGCCACATGACCACAGAAACGTCTTCGGACAGCGCTGGCTCTTTGACTTGGAAACGGAGATGAGCACCGCAACCCTAGAGTTGGATTCGACTGGCTTTCGAGCAAGGGAACCTTTACCTTTTTACTGGGACATCAGGTACACCGGTAGTTGGACATCAGGTACTGGAGGCCCAAGGCAGCATAAGTCGGGATCCGCAGCAGGTTGGAGCCATTTGCCGTTGAGTGATCTGCCTTGGGCTTCGTGTAGTCTGCCCGCCCCCTGTACAGTAAGGTTCTTCTTTGCAAGACTGGCAGCTGACAATGAACCAAAATAGTCCCCATCAAGGAAGTTCCCACTAAGTGTGCCTGGCTGGCTGGCACGGTTGCGCCCTCCTTGGCCACCCCCCAGAAGCATCTGAGTGTCTGCTCTTGGCTGCTGGGCTTTGTGGGCCTCTCGTGTGGTCCCGCGGGTCTCCCTTTTTATGCCTCGTGGGCCTCTTGTGTGTTCCCTCTAAGTTCCACAGTGTTGTGAGCAGAAATTCTACCTTATGAGCAAAAAAAGCTAGTAGCATTAAAGTTGTGAGCGAGTCTACATTTGACTATCGGATACATTAGTTTTTTAGAAGATTATTTCCATAACTTTGTAAAAATCTCAGTATAAATTCTTTTAAATTATATTTAAACTATATTTTAAGAATGATTTAAGCCAGTTTGGTGGAGAGCCAGTTTGGTGTCGTGGTTAAGTGCGCGGACTCTAATTGGGGAGAACTGGGTTTGATTCCCCCACTCCTCCACTTGCACCTGGCTGGATGACCTTGAGCAAGCCGTAGTTCTGATAAGAACTGTTCTTGAAAAAGAGCAGTTTCTGTCAAGAGCTCTCTCAGCCCCACCTACCTCCCAGGGTGTCTGTTGTGGGGA